TAGGGTTGGGGGAGAGTTTAGGGGGGGGGGGGTGAAGGAGTGAGGGGAAAGGCATATCCAGAGACCTACTGTGCCCACACAGCGTTTCCCTTGGGTAAATGTTCACCACTGTCCCACCTTTCGCACACCCCTACCCCCCCCCCCTTACACACACACTTCGGCAGGAGTTCAAGGCGCTGGACGAGGCGGCGCTGGAGGTGCTCAAGGGCCGGAACGCGGCCGAGGCGGCGCTGGCGGAGCGAGCGGCGGACCTGGCGGACCTGCGCGCCGGATTTGAGGCCAAGAACAGGGAGGTGGGCGTCATCCGGCGCGTGGAGCAGGACATCCTGGCGGAGATGGAGGTGCAGCGCGTCGCGGCCAAGGACGAGGCCGGCAAGCGGCGGCTGTGGGCCGCGCGCGCGGCGGCCGCCGACGCGGAGATGGCGGAGAAGTGGGGCGAGGCGCCCGCCGCGCCCACCCCCGAGGAGCTGGCGGCGGCCAGCACGGAGGACCTGCAGTACCGCACCACCCTACTGCGCGAGGAGATGGAGCGCATGAGCATCGACCTCACCGCCATCGAGGCCTGGCGCGCCAAGGACGCCGAGTACGGTGTGCGAGCCGCCGAGCTGGAGAGCGCCACCGCCCAGCGAGACGAGGTGCTGGAGGGGGAGGTTCATCGGTCCTGGAAGGGTGTGTGTTTCATGTCGAAGGGCCTGTGTGAGGGTACGGGTGTGATACCAGACCCCGGTGGCTGGAAATGGCCACCTGCAGCGCCACGGACGAGGGTCAGCAGTGAGGGAACTCTCTGGAATGGAGTATTTTCAGCATCCCTGCACGACACTCGGCGATGAGAACCCTCCGAGGAAACTCTACGCTGTTCTCCCCGCCGAATCCACGTATACAACCCGACCCTGGTTCCCCCCGCACACACACACACACGCAAATCGCAGGTGCGGCGTGCGCACGAGGACCTTCGCAAGCAGCGACTGGACGGGTTCATGGCCGGCTTCAACGCCGTGTCCCTGAAGCTGAAGGAGATGTACCAAATGATCACGCTGGGCGGCGACGCTGAGCTGGAGCTGGTGGACTCGCTGGACCCCTTCTCGGAGGGCATCCTCTTCTCGGTGCGCCCGCCCAAGAAGTCGTGGAAGAACATTGCCAACCTGAGCGGGGGGGAGAAGACGCTGAGCTCCCTGTCCCTGGTCTTTGCGCTGCACCACTACAAGCCCACCCCGCTCTACGTCATGGACGAGATCGACGCCGCCCTGGGTGAGCGGCTGAGGGGCTGGGGATCGGGCGAGTCGTTGGCGCGGGGAGGTTTGGGGGGGTTGAAGGGCGGAATCGTGAGGGAGAGGATGAAAGGCTGAGTGTGCATGAATGGGTGGAGCGGGACACTCGGTGGGCCCTGGACTGCAACTCGGTGTGGCGGGACAGATGAGCATGACATGGGCTCGGGGGTTTTGTCTTTGGGCGTCAGGCATCCAACGACACCACTTGTGCAGCCCTCTCCCAGGCCCCACTCACCAACCCCTCCCCAAACACCCAACAACCCCCCACCCTGCACGCAGACTTCAAGAACGTGTCGATCGTGGGGCACTACATCAAGGAGCGCACCAAGAACGCGCAGTTCGTCATCATCTCCCTGCGCAACAACATGTTTGAGCTGGCGGACCGCCTGGTGGGCATCTACAAGACCGACAACGCCACCAAGTCGGTGGCCATTGACCCCGGCGCGTTCGTGGTGGGGGCCACGGGCCCCGCACCGGCGGTGGCACGGCCGGTGCTGGCGGCCTGACGTGGGGCCCTCATCGATGTGTCTGCCCCTTCTCATCAGAACAGGGCGCTTGAAGCACCAGCTGCCACTGTGCGCCTGACTCCCTGTTCAAGGCTGCCCCAGCCCACGGCTCGCCCGATAACTACCACCCTGACTTGTACAAGAGTATTCTTCAGAAGGCAGCACAAGCCCCCAAGCCCCCCCCCCACGCTCAGTCCAGGAAAAACATGGTCACAATCTTCTTCTCAGCCTTGGCCTCCTGGCACGTCTCCAGGAGCAGGCCAGAGTCATGGAAGGCGAAGCAGATGATCTGCGCCACGCGGCCTATGATGTCACGATTGCACAGCCTGTGGGTTGGGAAAGGGCTGGGGAGGTGAGCAATCCTGGAGGGCATCGCACTTGACTCGGAAGCTCACCCTGGCATGCCCCTTGCTGCCCCGCCCCGACATGCCTGCTGGCCTCTGACAGCTGCATGTCATCGTTCTGGGGCATCTCTATCAACTGAGGCACCTGTGGGCGTTGGAAGGTCATGCAGCGGTTGATGGGGGGGCAAAATCGGGCGAGGCATGCAATTGAAACGCAGACCCTCTTCGAGCTAGGAAACTCGAGACAAACACAAGATGCTCTGAGGGCCAGGCCATCAACCAGTGGCCTCTGACCTGTTGAAGGAGCTCCTGGCTCTCCAGGGGCTGCTTGGTGAGGCTCTGTGGCAGGACCACGGTGAGGAGCTCCGGGTTCTCAGCTCTCAGCGCCCCTCGAATCACCGCCGCGTTCGTCCCGGTAGCCCCGGAGGTGTAGATGTGATTGCCCTGCGGAGAGCAGGTGCCGTGAGCTTGACATGGCGTCCCACGCACATCCCGGGCGGGGGAGCATGCTGCCTCTGCGCCCTGCTGGGGACCACCAGGGGCCAGCAGGAATGCACGCACCGTGAGGATCATGGCGTAGGCCAGGACCTCGATCAGCTGCTGGTGCATGAAACCCATGTTCCGCGTCCCAAAGAATCCCAGCTTCCGTGGTCCATTGTTCTGGATGGCCAGGAATTCCTGGAGGCAGAGGGCATTGGTGGGCAGGTGGGTGGAGGGGGGGGGGAGGGCTTCGGATCAGCGCCGCGCTCTGTACGTGGGGGAGGGCTA